AAACAGAAGTTCGACATTTTTTCAACTTTGGAGAAAATCGACTTTGAAGTTGTACCCTTGATTTTCAGAGGAAAATCGCTTATATTTTGGTTTGGGAAAAAAGTCTGAGACTGAAAGTGCTGTAACTGCCAGAGATTTCAAGATAGGAAGCTGAAATTTGGAACATAACAACTTCAGATGGGTGTGCACCTTCAGTGCAAATTCCAACTTTACATCTCTGATATTTTTCGAAGGACAGCCTGTTACAATTTTGGCCTTCACCCAAACCAGTGCAATGAGACCCTATAGGCGGACCGCCGACCCCCACCCCCTCACTAAAATGGCCATAACTTCGCCAATTTTGACCCCAGAGGTATAATTCGAAATTCGACTTAGAAGTTCCACCCGAATTTTCAAGAGGGAAATTTGCTTATATTTTGGTTCGGGAAAAAATCTGAACTTCAAAGTGCTGTAACAGGCAGAGTTTTCACGATAGAGACTTGAAATTTGCAACATAACAACTTCCAATAGGTGTGTACCTTCAGTGCAAATTTCAACTTTCCAGCTCTGATAGCCTTCGAACGAGAACCTGTCAAAGTTTTGATCTTCACCCCATTGAAAATACAGTGCAGAAAGACGCTATAGGCAGACCGCCGACATCACCCTTGACCTAAAATGGCCATTACTCGGCCAATTTTGACCCGAGAGGTACAATGTTTGAAAGTTTTGGCCTTCACCCAAACCAGTGCAATGAGACCCTATAGGCGGACCGCCGACCCCCACCCCCTCACCCTCACTAAAATAAAATAGCCATAACTTCGCCAATTTTGACCACAGAGGTATAATTTTTGTTGCAAACGGAAGTTTAACATGTCTTCTATCTATTTCAGTCGAAAACAGAAATTCGGATTTTTTGAAATCTTTCGGGAAAATCGACTTTGAAGTTCCACCCCAATTATTTCTCGTAAAGTCTCACTTACGAGATTATGTGAATAGGACTGCGCAGCCGTACAAGTTCACTGTACTGCTATTAGCCGAAATGACAGGACGTGGTCTTGTTGACTTTCAGTATTTTTCCTGGTAATTATTGACGCGGTCAATAAACTTTAAATTAATTTAAATTAATTTACCAGTGTATGTGTTGCTGACGTTGTTAGTTACTTTATCGTTGTTACGATTGTTATTACACAGGACGTTTTGGATTGGAGTTTATCCGCCATTTTAGTTTTGCACACGCTGTGCTTGACTTGTTTACATCGTAACTATGGCTGAGATTCAAGTTTCTCGGGAACTATTGAAAGAAAAACTAAGGCCGTCTAGAAGCTCGGTTACTGGTTCATCAACTAAAGGTGGAAGAAAGAAAGGTTTGAATTCCGATTCTCCGAAACAGATTGATAATACCACTAATTCTTTACCTGGTTGTAGTACCGGTAACAATAATAACAGCTCGACGAGTGTGTTTAAATCAAATATTTTTGCTTCATCATCAAAATCGAAAGACGGGTCGTCAGTCGAGCCTAGTAATAGTGACGTTATGTCGATTCTGAAAGCTATTCAGGAAAACCAAACTGCTCAGAACTCTCGTTTCGATAAATTATCTAGTAAAGTTGATGAACTTTACAATAATGACAATTATGACGATTATGATGAAAATGAATTATTAGGCTACAATGATGAAGAGTATTGTGATGATGATTTGGATGTTTTACCGGCGAAAAAAGCCAAAATATCATCTGATATGGAGTTATCTGACTATATTTTTGCCCAGGCGGGGAAAAAGTTGAAAGTGAAAGATTTATGTGATGTTCCAATAAATCAAGACATCTTTGATAAATAACTGGTTCAGAGATGGTGTAGATGATGATAGGTATAACGAATTGATAAAATCTATCCCCCGTCCTAAAAACTGTGAGACTTTAATGACGGTTAAAACTAATCAATTAGTGTGGGATTTTCTCAGCCAGTCTACACGTACGATGGACAAGCGAATACAGAATGCTCAAACTTCCATTATTAAAGGAGCAGTTTCGTTGTCTAAAATTACTGACACTCTTGGTAGTGGACAATCTATGGATGTGAATCATGTTCCGGAACAGGCAATGGATTCCCTAGCTCCTTTTGGACATGCCAATAAACAATTATGTTTTATTCGTAGAGACTTGATGAAACCCGATATGAGGGGCGAGTATTTACATCTATGTAGTCAAAATTTGAAATACACAGACAGTCTGTTTGGTGATGATGTTTCCAAAACTGTCAAGGATATATCTGATTGCTCTCGTATAAGTAACAAGATTGGTGCTTTTCAAGGTCGCGGAGGACAAGGAAGGTCTATCCGTGGTAGAGGATTTAGAGGAAGATTTTTTAGAGGTCATTATCGAGGACGTAGCTCTGGAGGTTTCTATGGTTCATATGGTTCGGACTCCAGAAGAGTGGTCAAGGTCGACCCTTCTCCCAACAATCTCAACAGAAGTAGTTTCTGAGGCAAGTATAAATGCCGGTAAGTTTCAAGCTGGCAGGCTCTGTTTATATGGATATGCATGGGAGAAATTAACTTTAGATTATACAATTTTAGATATTGTTAAACATTGCCATTTAGAGTTTGTTGATGGGCTTATCCCTACTCAATATAATTTGCCATATCAACCTATTTTCAGTGAGCAGCATTCAGCTGTAATCACTAATGAGGTTAAAAATCTTCTGGATATGAATGTGTTACAGGAAGTCCAATTTTCGCTTGATGGCTTTGTGTCTACAATTTTTGTTAGACCTAAACCAAATGGTAAATTTCGTATGATTCTCAACTTGAAAGAATTAAATAAATTTATTGTTTGAAATGGATAATTTCGAAACTGCAGTTAATTCAGTAACTCAAGATTGTTTTTTCGGCAGTATTGATTTCTCCAATGCATATTATGCAATATCTATTGCCAAAGAACATAGAAAGTTCCTTAGATTTATGTGGAAGGATAAATTGTATATGTACACTTGCATGGCTCAAGGGTTAGCTAGTGCGCCTCGAGTGTTCACAAAGTTATTAAAACCTGTGTTCTCAACTCTTCGTCGTCTTGGTTTCATCAACACTGCCTACATTGATGATTCTCTATTACTAGGGGATACAGTTGAAGAGTGTCAGAATAATATTTCTGAGACTATTGCATTTGTGGAGAGTCTAGGGTTTACAGTTAATTATGAAAAATCTGTCCTCAAACCATCCAAAGAAATAGTTTTCTTAGGAAATGTTATTAATTCCCATACAATGACAGTTACTCTAACAGAGGAGAAGAAATCCCGTATTATACTAGCCTGTAGTCAGATTTTTAAATATTCTAAGGCAAAGATTAGGGATGTTGCTAAGGTTATTGGCTCATTTGTTGCTTCGTTTTCAGCAGTTCAATATGTGCCATTGCATTATAGAGAATTAGAGAGAAATAAATATAGGGCCTTAAAATGTTCAGGCTTCAATTTTGATGCAACTATGGTTATCTCAGAAGATATGAAATCTGAAATTCAATGGTGGCTCATTAATTTAGACAGTCAATATAGAGTTATCTCCCATGGGTACATTCATTTCACTGTTACCACTGATGCATCTCTGTTAGGTTGGGGTGCTGTGAGTGACGATTATAAAATAGGTGGTAGATAGAATTCTTTAGAATCAGAATTTCATATTAATTATCTTGAATTACTTGCTGGATTTCATGGTTTGAAATCTTTTAATATTGACAATAAATTTCATGGTAAACATGTGAAAATACTATCAGATAATACGTCTGCTGTTGCTGATATAAACAATATGGGAGGTATTAATTCTGTATGTTGTGATATGCTTGCGAAACAACTCTGGCAGTGGTGCATTGAAAATAATGTTTGGCTTTCTGCAAGTCATATTCCTGGAAAATCTAATGTAGCAGATATTGCTTCCAGGAAATTCGATGACCAAACTGAATGGATGTTAAATTCAGATATTTTCTGTAAGATTTCTAGTTTATGGGGTTTACCGGACATTGATTTATTTGCTACAAGGCTTAACTGTCAGATTAAAACTTTTTGTTCCTGGAACCAGATCCAGATGCATCTAATATAAATGCTTTTACTTTTTCATGGCATGATTTTTATTGTTATTTGAATCCTCCTTTCAGTTTATTGAACCGCTGTGTTCAGAAGATTCGTCAAGACAAGGCGAAGTGTAAAATTGTAGCACCAATATGGCCAAGCCAACCATGGTTCACGAGGTTACTCGAGTTGATAGTAGATGTTCTGAGCACATATTGTGAAAGATGGCGCTCTATAAGTGTCTTAATAATAATAATAATAATGTTCCAGTGGTTCTTCCAGCTCAAAAAGATCTTGTGCAGGTATCAAGCGGAGAGTCGCACCCTCTTTGGGAGAGTCTAAATCTTATGACATGTCATGTATCCGGAGTCAACTCGGAAAACGAGTATTTTCTGAAAGAGCAACAACTATCATCATGGCATCTTGGAAGTCAGGAACCACGGAACAATATCAAGTCTTCCATAAGAGATGGTTTCAGTACTGTCGTCAAGAACAGAATAATCCACTTTGCTCATCTGTCGTAAATTTTTTGGCACTTTTGTTTTCTGCTGGCCTTGGTTACAGTGCTCTCAACACAGCCAGAGGGGGCTCTCTCATCATTAGGACTTATATTTGATGGATTTTCAGTAAGTCGTCATCCTTTAGTTATAAGATTTTTTAGAGGGGTATTTAATCTTAGACCTACTCAAGTGCGTTATACATGCACTTGGGATGTGGCTCCTGTTTTAAAATATTTGCAGACGTTATCACCTATTGCAGAACTTTCGTTACAAAATTTAACACTGAAATTAGTGATGCTGATCGCTTTAATTTGTGCTGCAAGAGTACAATCTCTTCATTGTTTGAAATTGTGTAATATGTTGAAGAAGAAATCTTCATTTGTGTTCGTGTTTACTGACGTGTTAAAAGTCAGTAGGCCAAATTTTCATGCGCCTGAATTTGTTTTGAACTCTTATCCTCCAGATAGGAGACTCTGTGGATATACTGTTATGAAACAATATTTGGAACGAACTGAGAATTTACGGGAAAATATGGATGGTCATCTGTTCATAAGTTACATTAAATTGTGTTTCGCGGGATACTTTTGCCAGGTGGCTTAAGGGTGCGGGTGTTGATACCTGTGTTTTTACAGCTCATAGTGTGCGCTCTGCCGCTGTTTCTAGAGCGAAACTGTGTAATGTGCCTATTAAAGACATAATGTCTAAAGCCGGTTGGACAAATGTCGGAACTTTCAGGAAGTACTATGACAAACATGTTGTAACTGATCAAATGTTTTCTGTATTAAAAGTTTAAAATTTTCCTTTGTTTGCTTTAAAGATTCACATAATCTCGTAAGTGAGACTTTACGAGAAATAATTAGGAAATTAAACGAGACTTACCTTGGTAAAGTTGAAGTGTGATTCCAATTATTGGAGTAAAGAGGAATCACTGTAGAGATTAGTTGCCTCCCTCCCTTCCCGGCATTCCAGTTCTCAATAAGTTATCTTAATATATATATATATTATATTTGTTACAAAACTTCGGAAAATTTTTATTTAAAGTATGAACTTGTACGGCTGCTCAGTCCTATTCACCTAATCTCTACAGTGATTCCTCTGTACTCCAATAATTGGAATCACACTTCAACTTTACCAAGGTAAGTCTCGTTTAATTTCCTAATTTTCAAGAGGGAAATTTGCTTATATTTTGGTTCAGGAAAAAATCTGAACTTCAAAGTGCTATAACAGGCAGAATTTTGTACGTACCTCGAACGAGAGCCTGTCAAAGTTTTGGTCTTCACCCCATTGAAAATACAGTGCAGAAAGACGCTATAGGCAGACCGCCGACACCACCCTTGAACTAAAATGGTCATTACTCGGCCAATTTTGACCGGAGAGGTACAATTTTTGTTTGTAATGAAAGCTGATCATTTCCTCCATCTATTTCAGTAGAAAACAGAAGTTCGACATTTTTTCAAAGTCCAAATTTCAACTTTACATCTCTGATAGTCTTCGAGTGGCAGCCTGTCAAAGATTTTGTCTTAACCCCAACCAGTGCCACGAGATTCTATAGGGCGACTGCCGACCCCCACCCCGTCACTAAAATGACCATAACTTCGCAAATTTTGACGCTAGAGGTATATTTTTTGTTGCAAACGGTGTGTATCTTGAGTGCAAATTTCAGCTTTCCATCGCTGATAGTCTTCGAAGGACAATCTGTCAGACTTTTGTTCTCCACCACGTTGTACACCCAGTGCAACTAGACGCTATAGGCAGACTGCCGACCCCACCCCTGAACTAAAATGGCCATAATGATGTGAAATGATGTTCACAGACAAGAAGATGTAATCATGCCTATTTACACAACAGCTAGGCAAATATATTATAGTCTATTTTATGTAGTCTGTAAGCTATCGATTAGATGCAAAACATATCACAAACAGAAGGAAATAACCTAAAGTGTAACAATCGCCGAGTTAGTTTGTTTTTGTGGCTATAATGTCTTCCACAACACCTGAGACTTGTATTATCGTGTGATACCACTAATTAAATGAATAAAAATGTAAATGACTCATTAGAGGATAAAGTCTTAGATATAAATTTGGCTTATAGATGCTTTGATTTTCTGGTATCAGGAGTTTCCCTTGGTCTTGGTTACGCATTTCGTTGTTATACAAGGGCCTACATTATTATTGGGAAACTTTGTGTTTTTTTCTTAGATTGTTTTGGCCAACATCCTATAACCTCATAGGTACGCCTATGTTATCTTTGATATCATTTACTACAACTCAGGCCTTTACGCCCAAGCCTTATAAGAATGTGTTATCATTATCTCTATAGACAGCTAGCGTGTTTGTAAGGATTCGTCTGGTTGAGTGTCCAATGTATTTGGCTAGTGTCTGGATTAAAAAAAGACACCCATCTGTGTACCCATCATACAATTTACACTTCTTTGTGCTTTGCTAATAGGCTTAGGTTCAATTCTAATAGATTAAATATACCTCATAATGTATCATTTCACATGGGCGCATTGGAAACATTATTGTTGGTGCGGAAATCGAATTTAATTGGATTCTATGAAGATATTAGATTGTGGATTTATTTTGATCAATTAAAACCATTGTTTCAAAAGTTATAAGTTGCTGATTCTGAACCTAACCCATGAAGAATTTATAGCGAGTTTCATGTCGTGAAAACCCCCTTGTCCAATAGCCTGCAGTAATATATCGATATAAAGCTACTTAATCCCATCAAGTGGTTTTAATAAGAGAGCCAGTTTATAAAATCTCTACTTCCTCATTAGAGGTATTAATGTCAGTTATCATTTGGTAAGAACAGACTATACCACACTTGAAACTCGACCTTAAATGGTTCATGCTTTGAGAAAAACAACATAATACGTCTATAAGTAGTAAAGCGGTTTTAAATTCATCTAGGGTAGTTTCTTTTAATCTAATTTAAGTGCAGATCTAGATTGTTTTCAATTATCATCTTAAAGTCCTGTTCTGTGGAATTTTGATGCAAATATTGTCAAAAGTTTTTTTCCTTTATGATTACCAAATAATATCGCTGTTGGGTGAGAGTACAAGCCAATTTCGCCAGGGAAGCGACATTACACATTTTTTGCCATGATACTATCCTATTTTTCTGTGAATCGCTTTACTTTTGATTTGCAATAATCTTATTCGCTGAAATACATATTATATATTGTTTTAACCTGTTCATATCTAAGTTATTTTTTTTACCTGATCAACATGATAATTTTTATTAACTAAAATCCAATTGTATTATAAATTGTATTAGTGTAACAAACAGAACAGACCTTTTCATAAACAAAGGGTTTTCAGTACCCATTTGGAATTATTTTCGTACATGTACTCATTATTTACAAAACAAAACACGAGTACTTATTAGCTGGATCTGAATCTGAACTTTATTTTACGGTAGAAATTTGTAATAATTCTGAAAGTGTTCACTATTTTCGCACTTATGCTCATTATTTACAAAACAGTACGTAAAATGGCTATATATATGCAAGCGTGTTGATTGGAAAATTTTTAATAATTTCGGAAGTGTTGAAAAGACAATGAGCAAAACCAAAACTAAATATGGTGATATGGGCATGGACACAATATGGAACGAACAATGACTGCGAATTTATTTTATCATTTACGACTCAGGATAACGACTCTGTTGTATACATTTAGTTGAATAAATACAATTGCACAATAAAAAATTTATATTTATACAGTTCTCAATACATCAGTTGTATATGGTAATTACCAACAACAGATGGAATGCATTTAAAAATTATCTCTTGCGCTGCGCACAGGCCTATAAAAGTTATGTTTTCCTTCTTCTGACTCCACTTAATGTCACAGTTGAAGTTTCAATAATTTGTCAACCCGTTTTCAAAATTGTTAATTAAAATATTGACCAATGCAATGAAAATGCAAACTAAATTTTTTTTGTAAAATTAAAGCGAAATTGAAAACGATGCTCCAGGCGCACCTCTATCTATAAGCATCACAAGCAAATCACATTATGTATCATTTTGCAATGTCTCAAATAGAATCTTCTTTGCGTAAAAATATAAATAATATAATATAGTGCCATACAAAAGGCGATTGAATTGAAATTCAAATTTTAATTTATTGTATCATATTTTATTCATAATATTATTGGGATAATTTAATTTAAGAATTCAAATTTTGATCTAATGTATTGTATATTCAGAATATTATTGGGATAATTGTGTATGAGTCCACTATTCAGGTTTCCGTCAGATGGCTGTTGATTTGATGACCAGCTTTCATCGTTCTTGCGACCGGCAGAACGGGAAACCAACTAAATTTTCAACGACTTGTAGCTATAGATGACATCAGGGGAAATCTGATTACTGAATTAAATCTATCTGAGCACATTCGCGACTGAAAAAACGCAGTTGCAAGCTGTTGCTCATGTTCCATTTTTAACCAAGTTAAAGGTTTTTCTGAAAATGCAGTTGTAATAGACAATATGACTACAATACAAATCTGTGTGTTCGATCACATCGAGAAAAAACACATAACGAAAATGAATCAGTTTAATCAGATTGGGAAATCGCAATATTGCTATACATACAGTCCTGAAAAACTTAAATCCTTGTAATCATGAAAAAGGTATGTAACTTGTGTTTACCAGTGTTACCGAGATTCTTAATGCCATTTTAAAACGTCCCTCGACATTTGTGCTTCATTTTCTATCGGACGTTTTGGTTCAAATAATTAACACATCTTCATTCATCGACAACATCCTAATATACAATAAGCAATCACATTATAGCGGCCACGTGGGAAAAGAAAGGCACAATAGTATCAATGTTAGAGCGATGACTAGAAGTCGTATTGGATACAATATCGAGGAAGGCTTGATCTTATAGATCAATGCTTGCCACAGATGACTGTGTATAGCAATATAGTAGACTCGTATATAGTTAACTAGAAGTATATAACAAGCGGTGTTATCAATGTTCAAAGTTTTTCTCCCTCAGGAAAGTTTTCAGTTTGAGTATGGGGTTATTTCAGTTTGACAGGTGTTCACCTGGAATCAGTGTCCATACAAATAGTGTTAGTGTTAAATATAATATTTTATTAATAATTTCAGTGTTAGTGTTTTTTGTTGATAAGTGTTCTGCTAATGAGTTGATTCGAATAGGATATATCACCGGTTCCGAACAATGGTTAGAGGATACGACTGAATTGTACGATCGTCCGGGCCAGAAGATATCCGGAGCTCTAACTTATGCCATTGCTGAAATAAATTCGGATGAAACAATTCTACCGAATCATTACCTAGATTTTATTATTGCCGAAACATTTGGGAAAGAAAGTGAAAGTATTAGACAAACAGTATTATTGTTAGATAAAAATATAAGTGTATACATTGGACCTCAGGAAACGTGTATACACGAAGGTCGTATTGCTGCATCGTTTAATATTCCTATGATTTCATATGTAAGTATTCATTGAACGTTTACACTTGATTATCTTTTCATTACCGACTAAAATAAATCATCTTTTTCCATATCGCCCACAATTAATGTTTGAGCCTTATTTCAACAATGGAAATTTTTTATTATTGCAAATCATCTTTTGTTCAGAAATGAATAAACTTCCATGTTTGTGCTGTTGTACTGAGATCAGATTAGAGACACGTTTGCTCGCTAACGTTGGGTTGTCCATCCATGCAGATGACACTTTTGGGATACGTCTTTCCTTCTGTCAGAAGTCTAATAAACTGGGCTGAAATGGAAGAGGCGTAGTCTTCCTTGTGCTACAATAAACCGAAGCCCCGAGTGTTATGTCGTACCCTAATGTCACTGTTTGCCAAATCTTCTTCAATGTACTCTGGGTGGTTTTCCAGTTAGGTGCTTATAAAAGTACGCCGTTAAACTTCATTGCTGTTAAGTTGTTTTAGAGAATAAAAAGACAATAAGCTAGCATGAATTATTTAGCCATTTAAACGAACATGTTATTGACTTGAAAACATTTTTTTTTAATTTCTTCACCAGCGGAGGCGTTTTTCTGTATCTTAATAGTGCAAATAGTATAGATTAAACTGATTAAGCCCCATTAGATTTTCTGTTAAAGCTTTTTTTGTTCAGTTGACTTTATAGACTTTTGTACCCCGAACTTGCTCGATTGTTCCTCAAGTAATGCCCTGTAGTATTTACAAAACTGAATGATTTAAGTTTTCACTGATCTGATCAGTTTTTGTAAACGATCCTGCTTTTTTTTAACTCTTGACAATGTAGTTTAGCTGTACTTTTAACATTAATTAGCTATATACATGATGGTTAGCTGTTATAAGTTATGGAATTGTTTCACTGAATTGAATACTGATTTGATAGAGGTATATATTGACGTTTTCCCAGAAATGAATTACAAAATGATGACAATTGAAGTAAATGTGGTTGAAAGGCAACAAGTTATTATTCAACAAAAGGCACTTACAAAGAGCTAAAGCAGTACTCACCAATGTCGTATATGTTAAATGATATTATATTTCTTTAAACCAAAAGAGATCATCTGAGACTTATTCTTAAACTCTTTCACCGAAACTATAAATCAATGATTTTTAACCAAACTAAAATGAAATTACTAAATACCCATTAATGTGAGAATGACTTTTGAATTGAATGATTTCCAATGATCCAAAACTGCTCTGAAATAAATGATAATGATTAATCAATAGTAATATATGACAACATATCAATGATGAAATGCGATTAATTGGATCAAGTCTACCGAGAACAAGTATATCATGAAGGTTTTCATTTTTTGAGTATGCTATGACAAATTTTTATTTTAGGAATCTAAGTCAGAATAAAAGCCTTTGACAACCCGAGAATTTGCAAGAAATACTGTTGGGTGAGGCAATAAATGGTATAATCGTCTTTCTTTGATTGATTGGGTCGACTCCGTATATTTAATTTTAAGGACCTAATTCCGAAAACTTCAGTAGAGTATTCTTAGTAAATGCACCATATTATGTAGAGTGTCCCAAAATCTTGTCCCCAGAAAGGGAAAGTGAAACTAGGATTGGATACCAGACACTTGTTAAAGGTATGATGAGCTAACGTGATAAAAAGGATGACAGCATAATGATTAAATGCCGACCTTAATGCGATATCAGAAAAAAAAATGCAAACCATTGTTTGATCTGTCTAAGCATGTTACAACATTCATAGTTATAATGATTAATAGTTATTAATTACAAATAAATCCTTTATATTAGATCAGAATGTATTAATTGCGTTGTTGTACTGCATTCGTTTAACAATTAACCTGTATATACTAAGTCGTATTTCGTTGCTGCTCTTTATGAGCACCTGGGTAGTGTTGCGCAGATGACGCTAATGTACACCGATCCACAAAGTGACATTCTGATCTGTATCTTTGGGATGTAAAACTCCAATTATTCATTCATCCATTTGTATCTTTGTAGCTTACTCATTGCATAAACTTTTATATAATGTGTTTTTAACATTTTCCAAGTAACACGGTCATTATACATTTAATTTTGATTGATATGACCAACATGGATAAAAGAGCCCAGGGCATCTTAAAGATCCACTGGAATCTGGAATTTGTCTCAATTGCACACTGCGTGTATTTTTCCTGCTCTCAATAGCCACATTAAGAATAGTAGACCTAAGACATAAAACTCCATTTCATTGTATTACATGACTTAGATAAATTATTTTACGAATTGATCTAAATTATACCAATTTTCTAATTTCCCTTCAACAAAACCAGTTATATTATTTCAATTATTTTCTATAAAACATTATTCACGACCCATCTGTACTCATGAATAAATCTACTATTAATAATATCGTTTATCAAGTATTAGTATGTACCCAACAATCGCAAGGTGGTCATTCATATCTTTACATCTAATGATTAAAATATACATGAAGAGAACCAATGCAAGAAGGGATTTACATGGTTAGATTCATGTATATGGAAATTGACAATCAAAGTGACTTGCTTAACTTTTTGTTCTACGTACTATTTTCACATATTGTATTTGTATTTGTGTTTTTTTTAACAATTGAACATGGTTCTGATATGTAACAAGGAAACCAAAGTGACACTGATAAATCTTTCTTCAGCTATTAGCATAATATTGTTAAATCTTTCACCCTTAACTGATATGTCCGCCCATGGGTTACAATCATTTACATTTTATACCTTGAGATTTATTTTGAAATAGTACGAAAAAATCTAAATCTTTAAAAAAATTTTTAGCTCGGTTCTCCAGAGATGCCATGATATTAATGCAGATAACAAAAAGGTTTTCATTGATGTGTGCAACAATATTCCACATTATTTCTAATAATTACACGTAATCCAAAACAGACATCGAGTTTCGAATCATTCGTGTTATCCAAATCTAAAAAACAACGGTTTATAATCTTTAACATTGTTCAGCAACAGAGAGTTAAAACATAATCTGTGACCTTTAAATTAAAGAAGAATTTTAATGTCAAATCAGGTTTTCTGACCTTACACTGCTTATCACAGTATTAGTTCGCATCTAAATTATTTTGGGCCAATTTTATAAATCATTGTCGTGTCAGATTTCAGCATCATACTGTTGTATGATTATTATTCTATATACTGTTGTATTAGAATTAAATAAATTACTTAAATACTGTTGAATCAGAAAGAATGAAATACTAAATATTGTTATATCAGAAAGAATGAGTTACTAAATACCACTGTATCAGAAAGAATGAATTACTAAATATTGTTGTACCAGAAAGAATGACTTGCAAAAATGCTGTACGTTAAAGACTTGGCTATCCGAATTTGTTAAGGCTTTTGTACTCCAACTTATTTACATGGGTTCTTGGTACTTGTATATCTTTATTATGAATCGATTTTAAGAAAATAAAGAGCTCTACCCAAAAAACTAATAGATAACAGAATCTTGTATCATGCTATATTGTTCGACAATTTTGGTTAAAATTTTTCGTTGGTTTCATAGCCTTCGAGGGAGACTGTGATATTGTTCGGCACCACTACGGTGCATTGTTCTGATACAGACGAGAAAGAAACAGAAGACAGTTTCATCAATTCATACTAAATGGTAATGCTTCTGTTTCCAATTGGTCAGACTGTTTATTTTCGGTTTCTATGAGCATACTATTACACAATTATTAATTAGTAGAAAATCACTCTGGTAATAATTCTTTGAAATATTAAAGACAAAATGAAGCAGCAATCTTCTAGAGTGGTTGATATGCTATATAGTATTGGCTTGATCGACTGGACCTACATAAAAACTAGAGCGTATGATATGATTATGACCATACTTTAACCTTTGCATGTTGGCAGCTTTTCAATCTATTGAAAATAAGTGGAAATCAATTGAACCTCAACATGTGTTTTACTGAACCGACTGAACTACCAAATTGAAGTCAACGACAGCAAAACATTTGATTTGAGTTCGATTAGACATGCGAATACATAATACGCTTCTCATCAGATTTTTCAGTTATGGAATTTTAATGATTTACATTAAATATGTCGCAAAAAAAGCCTTGATGTCTCAGGTCGGGCTAATTAAAAAACTCACAAATACTATAGAATTGCAGGGGCGAGACATGTTCAACCTTCTAGAAACTCTTGACGCCACCCGGCAACAGGTTTTGAGAAATATGTTATATTTTATAATGAACCATATAGTGTATAATGGCATTTGGTGCTTTTGTTGTTTTTTTACACAACTTTTGAAATATAAATCAATGAACTGAAAATTGTTATTAATTATATCAGCTAATAAAACTCAATTTCAAAATCAAAATTCGACTCTTGGTTATTGAAAAGGTTTGCTGTGAGGTTTCAATCTGTGATATTTTGATTTAACAATTAAATTTCTCCGCCCGTCTATTTATTTATTATATATAATAATGTATAATATATAATTTAGAAAAAAACACATATCAATTATTAAATATCAACAGGTAGTTAACTTGTCAGACTTTCCTTATTTTAATAATATTTTATTGATTTCAGCATTCTTTTCTTATTATACTGGATATTAGAAAATGACACAAATATATTATTTTTATTCAAAATCTATTAACATGTAACAACTGTGACATGGGTTATAATTTATGGTAAATAATACGCAGTTGGATATGCCTCATTTCTTTTCTTCATGTATTTAAAGAGATGTATGAACCGGTAATTGTTTAATTTTTTTCTATATTACAAAAATACATTGAATTTCAACCTTGGTGAACAACAACCCAATATCAGACAATATATCAACTAGGTAGCTATCGTTATAATGATAATTGACATTAAATTCAACTTTCTGATAGTCATATATGGCATACATCTCCATGAGTTTTGGACCAGGCAGATGTAAAGATAATGCCTTCGTATTGGTTTGTACAATCCAGTTACCCCCTGGCATCTTTGCAGGTCGGAAGAACTGA